CTGCAAGAGAGCGGCCTGGGGGAGTAGGCACCCCCTCTCCCTTCTCAGCCTTGTTCCTGCTGGGCAGAGTGTACCAGCCTTGAGGATGGAGCCATGCTCAAGAGAAGAAGTAACTCAAAGGAGGAATAGGGATGTCTTTAGGGATCCAGAAGAGGGGAAAGCAGGAAGCTGATTCTTGAATGGTCCAAGGGATAAAATGAGGGCATTTATCAGGTGGGAGGTGAGAGAGGCAGTTTCCCATCCAAGAAAAGCGGAATTTCTTGCCAGTTGAGCTGCCCATCTGTTGCCCAAGGTGGCATGGATTGCCATTGGTGGAAGTGTCCACACCTTGGCCACGTGGGCACTAGCAAGGCTAATGCAGCATGGATATGGTGACAGTCTCTATGAGGCACCCATTTTCCAAGGATGGAAGGGGTAGACATCCAGTGGGATAATTAGCCCCATTGTTGGGCCAGTCTTAGAAATGCACCTTTCTTTAAAAAAAAAAATATTTTATGATCTTTCATTAATTTGGGGAAAATTAAGGTGTTGAACATTGTCCCCAATTCTATTTAAAAACACAGTTATGAGGGGCACCTGGGTGGCTCATTTGGTGAAGCGTCCAACTCTTGGTTTTGGCTCAGGTCTTGATCTCAGGGTCCTGAGACTGAGTTCCGCACTCAGAGGGGAGTCTGCTGGAGATTCTCTCTGTCCCTCTCCCTCTGCCCTACCCCATCCCACACTTGTGCGCATGCTCGCTCTCTCTCTCTCTCTCACTCTCAAATAAATGAATAAATCTTTTTAAAAAATGAAATAAAGAGGGGCGCCTGGCTGGCTCAGTGGGTTAAGCCGCTGCCTTCGGCTCAGGTCATGATCTCAGGGTCCTGAGATCGAGCCCCACATCGGGCTCTCTGCTCAGCAGGGAGCCTGCTTCCTCTCCTCTCTCTCTGCCTGCTTGTGATCTCTCTCTGTCAAATAAATAAATAAAATCTTTTAAAAAAAAATGAAATAAAGAATAATAATAGTTATTAGTAAGAGAACTGGGAGTACGGTTTTTGCTTCTGATTTCTTCCCACAAATTAGTTTCTCTTTGCAATAAAAACAATTCATAATCCTGAAACTTTTTTAAAAAAAAAATTTGACTACAACTGAGGGAAAATCAGCTCTGGACAGTGATACAAAATGCTTAAAGAAAAACGTTTTTTTAGAAAGTCACATAATTTGGAAAAAAAAAAATTATGTAATTTGAATTGTCAACCCAGAGCCTGGACTATAGTTTTTCTGTCCAGCCTGTAAAATCCCTGGTAATACAGAGATAATTATGGAAATATTCCAGAGCCCTTCCCTGGATGCCAACACAGAGCCATGCCACTGGGCTTTTACCTCTTTTACGATGAAAAGCATTCAAAAAGACAGACCTGCCGTCCTCAGAGGCACTTAAGGAACCGGGGAAAAAAGGTGATGTGCATTTCTTGGGATTGGCCTTGATCTGACAGATTCCCAGGGGTGAGTCACTCTCTCCTTCTTAGGTCAGTTCGGCTATAAAATAATTATAATGAGAGCTTGTTTACTAAGAGCTGAAGTCCACTTTGCTGCGTCTCATTCAGCTGCGAGGAAGGAGAAGAAGAAAGGTAGTGATTAGGGAAGACTTCTGTACCCAACTGTCCCAGCAGCTTGGTGTTGAGAACCCATGCCCTGAAGAGGCAAAGTTTCTTATAAATTGGACTTGTGAGTAGCAGATGCCAGTTTAAGTGTCCCTCTGCTTCTCCTGTGGGTCTGCACTTGTGATTTGAGGCAAATAAGTAGGAAGGGTAGTTTGATTAAATTAATCAATTTAATTGGGGGGGGAGGGGGGGAGGTGGAGGGCAGTGGGGGAAGGAGGCTATACCACGGACCCTCCTGTCTTGCCAAGATCTGGCCTGTGGCCAAGGAGAGCAAAAGCGGCAAGAGTGCCAGTGACTATACCCAGCCCCGCTGATCAGTGAACTGGAAGCTAGGCACTCGGTGTCCCTTTCCTTGTACCCAGCCTGCAGCCAGGGTCCAGGCGGTGGTGCCTCCATGCCTGTCCTCATCGGCTCCCAGTGGAAGGCGCTGGACAGCCAGCCCCGAGCCCAGCCAGACCACTCAGTGCGTCCTCCACGCTGAAAATTCAGGACCGACCTTCACCTCAGCAGTGGTTCTTGGGGCCACATGAAAAGCCACAGATAGGTTTACTTTCAAGTGGCAAAGGCTGGTGTTTCTGGGAGAGAGGAATATTCACTTCCTGCCTTTGTCCTTTAGCTGACTGGAGCAACCCGCTTCGTTTACATTCCTTCAGTGGTGTTATTGAAAAGACTTGGCAGCTCCAAAATGTTTGTAGTGTCCCATTAGGGCTTTCCCCCAACCCCCACTATTATTTATTTTTTATTTTTTTGCTAGCTTTTAGCTAGCATCTGGAAAGATTCACTGGATGGACATGATGGGCTCGTTTTTCAAGTATCCAGTTTACCCTTCAGGGAATCCAGGAAAGGAGCAAGCTCCCAACATACAAATCTGGAGAAATTTAACAACCTCTCCAACTACTGCACCTTTTTTGTCTAGCCTGTTACTGGGGCAGTTTTAGGACCGAACCCTGGTGTAACCCCTCAGGGTAAGGGAGGGTGGGGAACCATGAATGGAAAGAAGCTATGCTTTTAAGTTAGATTAAATTTCTGTCCATATTGAGTTAAGGTATTAGAGGTTATGGTTTGGGAAGGAAACTATTGCTACAACAGGAAGGACCTTAAGCCAGAACTTCTTTGGGGCCCTTAAGAACTGAATTTTTTTTTTTCAATGAGGATAATCAATGATGTGCAGTCCACTTGGATTTTATTCAATGGGAAGAACCCGCTATTGCGCTTGGCCACCTGCTCTTGTTACCTGCTGTCATCTCCCTCCTGGAGCAGCCTTTTGAAGAAGAGAGGTGGCGACCTGCATTTTCTTGGAGAAATGTGATAGGTCTGTCTGCCCCACATGCATGGAATCCAAACTGGCTATTTTACAGATAACCGCTTGAATTTGAAGTGCGTGCATATGATTTTCAGGCAGCTAATTAAACTGCTAAACTTCTGGAATCCAAACCGCTCCGTTGCTATAGGCAAAATTCCCTGCCTGTCATGGCTCATCAGAAGGGGTTTGTCTGTGGAAATCTTCTGAACGGAACAAAGAGACTTAGGTCTGGATGAGGAATGAAGTCTTGGCTCTCACCTGCCAGCTCCTTAACTGCTGTACGATGTCAAATCCCTTGCTGAGAAAACGTCTGAAAGGAAAAGAATTTTAGGCTTGGTGTCAAGAAATGTTCTTTTTTTAATGTGTGTTTCTTCTGCATCGAAACAGTTAATCATTTACTCCCTGGGATTATGGTGTGGCTCCCATTCCCCTCTTGGTTCTGAACACAGCACTGTGTTTTCATTCTGGAGTTGCTCCAGTCTGTGGATTTTGCTAATAAGTGATGAACTTCAAAGGCCTTGGAGCTGGGGCTCCATTCAGCTGCTGAGTCTGAGAACCTGAAGCTTTGGAGTCAGCAGAATTGCAAAGGAAAGCTCACCAGTCTTCTCAGGAGGTTTTGGAGCCTTGGCCTTCATCCCAGCGGGATTGCAAGTGGAAAGAAACACAGGGAAGGCATCTCCAAACCTTTAAAGTGACCGAGATGTGGAGAAAGGGCTAAAATAGGTGAAGGTTCTGGAAAGAGGGATGGGTGTGCACTGCATTACTGTCTTCCTAGATGGGATTCCACAGACCAATGGAGCCCACTATGAATGTGAACACTGAGGCTAATCTTGGGGCCAAAATGAGCCCCTTTCCCAAGAGCATTACTTGCTAATATGCATGTAGTTCTCTGCTAAGTAATTAAGCTTTTCCACTTGTTAGGAAAGTCCCTTTGGAGCTGCTGGCTCTCTGTTCCCTTGCTAATAATGAAACAGCTTTAGCAAACTAGCAGCAGTGACCTTGGCTTCTGTGTCTCCCCACCCCACCCCCACAGTTGAACCCCTTTTAATATGCCTTAATGTGGTGTGACATGTTTTCATTTTATTGTCCTTACACCGACCGTGTTGGTCATGGTCAGGACGAACTTTATCTTGGGCCAGGTTATGGTGAGCAGGAGAACAGTTTTATATTTGCTCTTGGTTCCGCCTCCTTGGGTAAGGAAGGTTTGGGGATGTGTCCCAAGGTCTTTGATGCCTGCTGACTGGGATGAGGCCAGCTGCTTGGGTGTACATGTATTTTACTTAGAAGTGGACACTGTAGGCTTTGTAGCTGACAAGGAGGCTTATTGGGTTTTGATGCTCAAGGGAGGGAAATTCCAAGCTGAAATGGCCACAGTTATGATTCAGAATCATATCATGCCTTTAAATTTTTCTCTACATTCCAAAGTGCCCCGCCCCCCTCCCCTTGGGCTATCGTGGAGCTGTTTCCGGGCTGTTTCTTATACAAACTAATCTCTGCAAACAGGGACAGGGGATTTCATCCCCATCTTTGATTTCTAAGGAGAAAATAAAGGGATTTATTCCCAGTGCCCTTGTGTTGACCTTGCCTGGGGGAGAGGGCTCTCAGAGCTGATGATGACCTCATCCCATTCCAGCAGGATTTCCTGGGACATGCAGGGGCCTCATTCTTCTGCTGTCCGTCTGTGTTCAGCCACACTAAGTCCATAAGCTTCAGAGCAGATTACGGTGACATCTAATATCGGTCCCTTTAGGACTCAAGCGTGAGGTCAAGCAAACACACAAAGCAATCATTATACTTTCCGTGGTGCCAGAGACCTTCTGCGTCAGCTGGAGGAGCGGGAGGTGGGGCAGTGAGGTGGGGCACAGACTAGGAACTGTGCTGTTTGGGGCAGGAAATCAGCCTGAAAGGGGATGGAAGGGCTTTGGTGGGAAATAAATGGCACTGTGTTGTTGACGGAAAAAGATCTTGGCAGGACCGTTGTTGTGAGTGTTCTGTGGCTTAGAGAGGAATTTCCTACAGGCTGGACTAACCATTAAAAATGTCTCTACCTTCAGGAGTCCCGGGCGTGCAGTAGAGTGTCTCTGGGGGAGATGTCAGCTTGGACCATGGGTGCCCGCGGTCTGGACAAGCGAGGAAGTTTCTTTAAGGTAAAAGGAAGCCTTGATTGGGATTGCTAATGGGCAGGCTCTCTCACTTTGCCCAGGCTGTGTGGGGAGCTGCGGAGGGAAGGCTGCTCTGAGCCAGCCCTGGTAGGGGTGGGGGTGGTGGGGCAGCTCGCCTGAAGCTGTTACCCGGTTTACAGTAGGTTGGAGTTTGGGTGACTTAGGGCTTCCAAGTCAGGGCCAGGACCCAGGAGCTGCGAGATGCCACCCTGTGTAAAACAGTTGAGGCAATCTTTGTTTATCCACTGCTCAGCTGTTCCTTTTGCTGCTAGATGGTTTTATGATTGAAGCTGGAATTTGCATTCCAGCAAATCGATGCTGTAGGCAGGTGTGTTTCACACTTTGCTTGATTGTATGAGTCCCTTAAGTCCTCATTAAAAAGCAGCAACAACAAACAGATTCCAAGGTCTCACCCTAGACTGGTTGAATGTTATTTGCTGGTGTATTTTATCAAATTATCTAGAGGCCCTTTGTGATCAGGCAAGAGAGAACCAAACAAAGCAGCATGATTAAAACTGTACCACTTTCCTATTTGGGTATTGATATTAATGGGTTAAAAATACCTTGCTAGCTTAATGAGTGAGACAAGATTCTTTTTTTTTTTTTTTAAAGATTTTACTTATTTATTTGACAGAGAGAGATCACAAGTAGACAGAGAGGCAGGCAGAGAGAGAGAGAGGGAAGCAGGCTTCCTGCTGAGCAGAGAGCCCGATGCGGGACTCCATCCCAGGACCCTGAGATCATGACCTGAGCCGAAGGCAGCGGCCCAACCCACTGAGCCACCCAGGCGCCCCTGAGTGAGACAAGATTCTAAATGGGTGTTTAATAGGCTGTGTGTGTGTGTGTGTTGTCAATTAAGACTTGGCTGTCGGTCATTTCAAATTCGCTCTTGGGGATTCATTTCCTCTTTATAGCTTTTACTTTGTATCCTTTCACTCACCCTCAGAATAACGCCCACTCACTGTAGAAAACTTGGAAGACACAGATTCGTGTAAACGAGTAGAAAAACGGAGGTAAAATGTGCATTTGAAATCTGTCACAGGCAGGTGTTCAAACACCAGATCTTTTTCCTCAAAGGAGGAATGATATAGGGGTTTCTTAATTATGAGGAAAACTGACAATGTTTACTAATTATCCCATCCTGATGGGTTGTAAGTATGTATTAACTTGCATGCATATGCTTCCCACTTGCAAAAGGCTAAACCTGATTTATTGTGTCAATTTTGGACTCCAAAAAAATCCACCAGAAGAGCCTGTTGATGCAGCAAAGCTAAATTCATTAAGCTGAGGACAGTAAGGACATACATCACCCGGACACAGTTCCACTGGTGTGCAAGTGGGACAGCAGGAGGCATCTTTAATAGGGTTCATAGGTCTGGGTGTGTGCCCTTGGAGCTGCATTTTTCAAGGCAGAGATATGCTCGGGTTTCAGCAGAGTATGTGACATCATAGTTCAGGATTGGGGGATTCAGCAAGACGATGGTCTTGAATAGAATCTTGGCAAGTTAACTATTGTTTGATAAGCAGGCTTTTCCCAGGTGAACAAACTGTTTGCCAGGACCAATTGTTTTGTAGGAATTTCCTGCAACAAACAGCAAAGTGATTTATTGGTTTAAAGCCTTAACATCCTGGGCAAGAATATCCTGGAAGAAATAGCTGTGTTGACACAGATGGTCTCCATTCTCCGTCCTCCTAGTTCTGTGATGTGGACTTAGCTGTCTCCGTTCTTGATCCATTTCCCCAAGTTGGAATCAAACCTGTACAGCGTCCACCCACATGAGCCAGAAGAGGAGCTCTCCATGTCCCCTGTAGACTGGGCACTAAACCCACCAGACTCCTGACTCGTCTCCAGTCCCTTGATCCTGTCTTATGCAGAGACGCTTATTTCATCCTGGTAGAAGGAATGAGCCCACCCCACTCCTTAACCCAAGGCTCTGCCTAGATCATCCTAACTACTGGCTAGTCTGTAACTACCACCTTGATACTCAGGAAGGGCAGTGGGCTTGAATCTAACGTAGCAATTGGATTTTATAGCCAAAGCAAAAGGAGAAAATCAAGTATGGTCAAAATTGCCTTTGAAAATTCCTGAGAGAGGGTCCATATTGGACTCACTCAGTACTACCTGTTAAGTCCATGGTAGTCAGTGTGCCTGTCCTGCAGTCCTGGGAAAGATTTTTTTTTTTTTTTTTCAGTTGGACAGCAGGTAAAGTAGTTAACTTGCATTTCTGGGTGTGTCTATGAAAGAATCAATCAGGCAAGCGGTGAAAGGCCTGCCTGACCCCATCGAGGACAAGGCCTGCTTCAATCTTGCCTGAGTCAGATGCCCGTGAGGAAATTGCTGGCAAAGTGGCTTTTATTATTTAACTTGGTATTGTCTTTATTCTTCTCCACACCCACCCCCAGCTTAAATTGTTTAATTTGTTTTAGTTATATACTCCAAGTAAATGATATAGTTACTTTGTACTTCTTTCTTTTCTCTTCTTTGTAGACATTGTTATTCTTTACTATATGGCTATTCCATAGTCCAACTAATGATGGAATACTATTATTATTAGTTATTTTAATAGTAGATAAATATTATTGATGATTTCACAATTAAGGCATGGAGTTACCTGTAAGGATGAAGTCAAGTTCCCTTCAGACATTTAACGTTCTTTGGAGGTTTGTCTTAAAAATGCTAGGCTAGAGTTCCATTTGCTGGGATGATTTGTTGCTCAGAATCTTCTGGGACTCATTGGCTCTTCTTTTGCTTTTCACGCTTTATTTCAATTCACATTTTTGTAGCACCTGTGATCATCCAGGCTCTGTACTAGTCACTAGGGAGAGGAAAAACCAGAAGCTATCCCTGACTCCATTGAGCTTTCATTCTGTTGGCAAATAAATATATTGATCAAATAATCACAGTGCTAAACACGTAATATCAAAAGAGAAAACAGTTCTTCGTATGAGAAGTAAAAAGGGCTCTGAGAATGTACAACTCTGAGAATATTGCAGAGAACTCTTCCCTGAGGAAGTGTCCTTTGATTTAAGAGTTGAGGTTGACTCTGTATCATCTAGAAAGGTAAGGCACCCTTGTGTCTTGCAACTTATCTGAGTCATTTCCATGAGCCAGGACAGATAGGAAACCACAAATCAAAGTTTAAAAACACAAGTTGGAGGGGGAAAGATAATGATGAAAAAGAGGTCTGGTGATCGTCTTTCAATTATCTTATGCTTCACACACAATCACAGGAGCCTTAATAACCAAGAAATGGATAATATGCATGTGGAATTCAGCTGTGAGCCATGTCACCAAGTAGTCTCACACTTCATGAAATTGTCCTATCCAGTTGTAGGGCATTGCTGGTATATGTGAAGAATAGCATGGCAGGAGCCTAAGAGAGTCATGCCAAAATTTAGCTCTACCCCACCTTGCTACATAATACGGAGTCGACCTCAGCTTGCAAATCAAAGGCCACTTTCTCAGGAAAGATTTCTCTGGAACACCGCGTTGGGTTACACGTTCTCAGAGCTCTGTTTACTTCTTGCATGAAGCACGATTTTGTCTTGTAACTCATTATGTGTTTAGGGTCGTGATTATTCAGTTGGCCACCAAAGATGGTCTGAGCATTCTAGGGTGGTTGACAATGTCCCATGGTGATTGTTCATGAGGAATCACATCCCAGAAGCCTGGCCCCAAAAGTCCTATGCTGGACAAACACATTTTCCACAGTTTGTCTAGTGCCATCGTGAGTTTTCCTCACCCACTGGTGAGAAATGTATCTTCCTGCTCTACGAGGTGTCTGTGAAAACCTATAGGAGGCAGGTGATGCCCTAGACAAGGCAGCCAAAGGTATCTGCACCTCACTGTAGAAGTTGACACCCATTGCTATCAGATTTCCAGGGTATGTTGCATGAGAGGACGCATCATCTAGCCTGGCAAAGCTCTAAGTGGTCCTGCGCTAGCAGAAAAGCTCACAGTCAGATCTGATCCTTCCTCTTCCTGAATTCCACAGCTTCCCCCAAGCCACCCCCCCTCCTGCCCTGTCTGGGTGCCCAGTGCTGGCAGGTTCCTCTCAAGTCACCAAAATCGTCACCCTCCTTCTTCTCCTACCTCCACCTCCCCACTTCCCTTCAGCTTCTTTCATTTTGGGGCACTACAGAGAATACTCATAATCTATCCGCAGCACCACCGAATGTGTGTGTGTGTGTGTGTGTGTATGTGTGTGTGTGTGTGTGTGTCTGTTTCTGAACTATTCCATTCATCCACTCTGAGCTGGGATGAATGAATGGTCTGCACTCTTCACCTTGACATTCGAGATCTTCTGGCTGTGCTTCCCCCCTCTACCTCCACCGGTCTTGCCACTGTACCATCCTGGGTCTGCTCCTGTGGTCCACTCCTGTGGTCCTGTGGTCCACCTGCTGATGCTCAAACTCCAGGCTTCGTCCATCCCCCCTCCTGTCCCTGCCTTCCACCTGTCCCTGCTAGGCTCCCAGCTGCCCTTCCAGGCTGACACAGACGCACTTTATCCACTGATGAAGAGACTCACATGGTGTGAGCTGGCGTCTGCCTTTATTTTTGTCTCAAGGTAAAGTTGTGGTAGAAGGCTTAGTGGTGGCCCCAGGATAGGACCAAGAAGTAAATTTCCATCCATAACTTGACCTCTGCCATGAGCAATTTGCTCTGTCGTTTTGTTGCTGTGTCCCTGACCCCAGCGGGGGAGCCTCGATGGCAGAGAACGATTCCAAAGCTGACCAGTGTGTATTGCCAGTCCAGTTTCTTCCAGGGATGCCTGGGCGAGCCTGTCCTATGCCACCTGCAAGTGGTAGAGCTCTCTGTTTCTCAGTGACTGCCTCCCAGCCTCTCTGCCTCTGGGACAGGGCAACAGTTGGTCTTCACTGACCAGGAAGAAAATGTGTTTTGACGACAGGGACCTTGCCCTCCTGTGCCTCCCAACTGCTCGTTCTGCAGGGAGACACCCTGAGCCTGGGTTCCCAAACCAGCT